AATCCCGAAGTAAGAGGGAAGGTCCAAGATGTAAGCATTAATTTTACTGCTTTGTCGTCCTCGTAAAAGCAAAGCACATTAATCATTTTTCATCGTCTGCAGGCAAAACGAAATAATTTTGTTCCACGTTCTTTCAGAGCACGAATTTTAAGCTGAAAATCATTGAAGAAAACATCTTATATCCTGAGAGATACAAGTGTCCGTCACATTATACCCACAAATGAAACGTGGTGAAACTCTATATCTGTATCCGTTCCACTCTTATGTAAATATTAGAGTTTTTTTCAGACATGCCAGATCTTATTGTCTTTGATGGTAATTATTTTAGAACTATTATTTTTAAGACTCTTAACCGTTTAACACGCACAAAGATGAAATTCTCACCATAAAGCAAAAAAAAAAAAGTAATAAAAAGTAATAATAACAATAATAATAAAAATAAGGACTGGAGGGTTTCCGTTTTTCACTTACAGAAAAGTATATTCTAGTTATATCAGCTATTTATGAAAGATACTCATGAGCACGTACAAAGTGTTACCGCGTAGAAATAAAATTATACAGTTTTCTTCTGAAAAGTGGGTGGTAAGGTATAAATTTCCCATATTTTTGAGTTTCGTCAAATGTATTTTTGTATGTATTTTTGTGTTTGAATTACAATCATTATGGCATTGTTTGTATTCAGCTCTAGGGACAATAAATGTCAAAAAACATTTAAGTGAAGACGCTGACAAAAAATCTAAAACAAACTTTGAAAAATTCATAGTTAGGTACGTACTTTGAGTAATTTTGCCACATGCGTCACGGTAATGATCAGAATTTTTCCGAACTGGAAAAACTTGTCGCAAGTATCGATTATGGCGTAGTTTTCTGACACAAAAGAAAAAATATTCGTGAGCCGAACAATTATTTCAATTTTCAAAAAGAGATCTGATGCATTATCATTTATTAATTGCCGAGCGAAAGTCGTTGTAGACCTTTTCGCGAGTTTCAAATAACTTTAAATGCCCAAACGATAACCAGAAGCCCGACATATAAAGCAGATATTGTGTTTATCTACTTACCGTTCGATAAGACGTGTGAAGGCGGGGAACTAGATGTAAGCTTTGATAGAATCTGTACCAAAATAACAACGCCCGAAGACTTATGGTTGATCGCTCTGAACGAAGTTTAAGTTCTCCTCTCACTGAGACGTATGTTATGACGTTGGAAAAATAGAATAAAAATTTTCTGAACTAACCAATAAAATCAATCAGTCCGTAGTCTCTTGGACCAATCACAGTTTTGATGGAAAGCAACGATTCAAACGAGCAGTTTTAACAATAACGAAGGTTGTTGAGGAAAAAAAATGGTAAATAAAGGTCCGCGTTGGAAAAAGCGCACGTTCACGCAAATATTAAATGTTTCCTCTTTTCAACCGACTTTATTATCCATTGCTGTTCTTTCTCATTCTTCTTAACCAAAGGGTTCTTACCTAAACGGAACGGAATTTAACTTTGAGCGGAGGGAAAGAAATGAAGTAAATTTATGGTAATAAAAGCGAGAGGAAGTAAAAGAGTTCAGTTGTTATGGAGTAGCTTGGAATGCCGTCGAGTTTCTGTTCGCTTTGCTGCTGATTCACTATAGTGGAAAATGTCAAGCATTCAACAGTTTTTGTAACAGCAAATATTGGTCACCTTGCCCTAATGACGATGCAGAAAAAGAGAAAAAGCTAAATAGCTTTTTTTTAAATTGTAATAAGCATATACTTTCTGACGAGTCGGTTATTTTCCATTTATATCAGGAAAACTACGATTTTTGTGCGTTTCTTTCGACTGATTTCACTTTTTTAACCCACCCCTACTAATTGTATTTTCCAACCTAATCCTTGATAGCTTATAGAAACGTTTCTCGAGAAATAAACACCGAAGTTCAAGAAAGGAGCAAAAGGAAGGAAAACTGACGTTGATCACTTTAGCCAACGGCCACGATGCGACAAACGACCAGGGGTTATGCTGTTAGCTCTACGTACCCGCGCAAAAAATTCGGCCCATGTCCCACTCCCCAGATACAATTTCAATAACACAACTTTGGGGACAGAAGCAAATCTAGTTGAGGAGGTAAAAGATGCCGCGTTTAATTTGAAGTCTTAATACATTAATTCATTGTCTAGATTAAAGTAGAGTGAGTGAGTGAGTAAGTGAACTTTAAGACCACAGCAAACCTTGAAGTATGACTACGTCATACCATGTGCAAAAAAAAAAATCGTAACCAAATATTTCTTCCTCCAACAGAGTAGAAAAAAAAAAAAAAAAAAAAAACAGTATCGTTTAAATGCACTTTACCCAGGTGTATTTTTTTTCAAAAATTTTGGTTGTCCGGTCACCCTTTGGTAAAGCAAGTGCTCTTATATCCTCCGTTAGATATATTTCCTTTTAGTTGCCTTAAAGTAATCTGTGGTTACACTAGTTTTTGCTTCATATGATTGGTCCAGAAAACTCGCACCACTCTCCCAACCCATTAGATATTAGACTAGATCAATCACGACTTTCCCACCTCCATAAACACCCAACATAAGTTCTTTGTTTATAATTCAGGCAGCTTCTGAATATAAGAAATCAAGTTTAGAAGGTAGTTGATTCATTCAAGGCTGTTGCAATATGAGAAAAGACAATAAAGTGCTTTATTCACGTAAATTGATTAAATTATATTATTATAATTATTTTACCTTACAGTACTTTTGTTTTTTAAAAAATTTTTTTTTAATTTGTTTTAACTAGTAGTACTAAGATGGTAATGTTACTTTGTGAATCAGGGAGCTATATAAACCAGAAGTATTCTGTTGGCTTACTACATTTTATGTTGCAGATGGCAGTAAGTTAGTAAAGAAAGAAAAGAAAAAGCAAAATAAATGAATAAAATAAAATGATTAGTGAGGGAAGAGCAGCATAAGAAAAGACTACAAATTATTCATAATTGTGATGGGAAACAAATACTTGTTGGGAAAGTAAAATTATCGCTCAGAAAAAAAAGTACAGCTTAGAAAAAAAATTACAAACTAAGGTGGAAAGTGAAAACTTAATTTATTACCATTACAATGGACATTTTGTACTTAAACATACCTCGGTCTATTCTTCCTCTGGTTGAGCCAATTTTTGTATTTTTGGGGGCTTCAGTGCTAAACATGTTACAGTCATAGGTTTTTGGCCAACTATGATACGTACAATAACGAGTGTGGATAGGGTGTCCGTGTAACACGGGCATGTTTTGTCTTCTGACCGGAATGCCGTTGACATACCGATTTATACGGTTCAAGCCACTGCTTTATAAACCTGATGGTGCAGCGTCCTCGGATCACCGCTTCAGCCATTCAAAAACCGTCTCATTTTTAGCCTTGGTGCTTATGCTCTTCTATAAACAAAACTTACGTGCCACGGAGCCGCCAGCGAAAAACAACAATTTCATATCGTGTGCAACTTCAGTTCGGCTTTGGCAAATTATATAATTGA